TGCAAGCAGTTTCTCAGCAGTATTGTGTATCCGGCGTATGATAGCTCGTGTCGCACGTCTGACAAAGGGAAGAAAAATGGTTAGCAAAAGGCTTCTGACACTGTGCTTTTCCCAAATGTTTCTGTGTGCACTCCCAAACACATTATTCATCTTTTCCAGTGTGACAAGACTGGAATTTTTGCATAAAATGCAACTGAGTTTAACTGTAAAAGCTCTTCTGCCAGCATCTTTTAACTCCGGCCATTCTCTCGACTTGTTAATGCGCCCCGTATCTCGTAGATTTTCTTAACTGTTCATCTTTATACCGTTTTACATATTTATGCAAGTGCAAAAACGCATATTGACAAGAGGTTGTCTGCGTGTGTATGTTAGCATTTTGTAGCCCAACTCAGCAACCACAGGAGCTGCGAAGTTGAAACTTCTGAAACATTTTCCCATCCACTACGCTATCCTTCTGTTTTAAAATTATCGTTCGCGTGCGCTTGGGTCGTAGATTTATTGGAAGGGAGGGATGGTGGGGGAACGATTACGGTGACCAAATAAGACAGGGAGGTGAAATTCCACAGGGATGTTCTGTAGTCTTATGTGAGCTAAAGATTTCAAATTTGGCTGTCTCATGCGCTTATTTCTTATATACTGATACTCCAGAGCTGAAATCAAAACATCACTGATGAAATGCTAACTCGGGAACCAGGCTGATTGCTTTGATTTTACGGGAATATAAGTTCCTCATACGCGGGCATGTAGGCGTAAAATGAGCTCTGGCGTACACATGTGCCACGCGTTTGAACGCGTCAAAACCATTTCTAATAAAAAGCGATTTCGCCAAACAGTCAACCCGGAAAGCTGAAATTATAAGAGGATATTCTATGCATATGCGTGGAGCTCTAGAGCACTCCTAGGTCTCGCGCATGCACAAGCAAATATAGTTTAGAATAATGTTGGAACCCACTTGTCTTGGTAAACAGACTGAGCAAGAAGCAGTATTTTTCTGAGAATGCTTACTGTTCCTTTTGAGGGCGAGCAAGCACAAAACGGGCTTTTGCTTAAGCATTCGATATGGCTTTGCCTACAGACATATCAGTTGTTCAAATTTCAACGCTGCAGTCATTCTGTTCTTTCAATAACTCAGAGAGGCGGGAAAGCTTAAACCTTATGGGAATTTGCCTTTCTGAAGTAGTACGGAAAAAATAACAGCAGCTTTCGTGCGCGATAGCCACTGACATAGGAATGCGATAAATTCCAGATTACAAAATGCGTTGCCACCTGGGTTTTTTTTGCGGGCATCACGCAATGATGCTAGAAATCGTAATGCAAGGGATTTGTTTAAAATAGCGGAACTTATGTCACTACGACTCTCGTTAAAGGCCACTTTAGATCTCCCTCGCTAATATGGCCATTACGGGTGGTTACTAATATAAAAAAAAAA